TAGGGACCCATTGAGTGAGGAATCCTTGGTGAGGATGTCTCTAGCAAGGATACCATAAGAAGAAGCCCCTGCGGTAACAACGTGAGTATTTTGGAGCAGGGAGGGGAAAGGGGGTTGGTAGAGCGAGGAGGGGGAGGGGGTCGATGGAGTAGGGAGGAGGAGCGAGAGGTGATGGCGTGTGCGTGTGCGTGTGCGTGTTTGTGTGTGTGTGTCTGTGTGTATATGTGTGGGCGGGATTGTTCCACTTCCCCCAAGAAACAAACAAAAAACAGCATCATAACGTCCTCAGCTTTTCTTTTTCTGTTTCCGAGGGGGGGGGGAGGAAACATCCCCCTGGAGCAGGGGGGAGGAGGGAGGAGGTGGTGGTGTGTGCGCGCGCGTGCATGCGCGTGTGTGTGTGTGTGTGTGTGTGTGTGTGTGTGTGTGTGTGTGTGTGTGTGTGTGTGTGTGTGTGTGTGTGTGTGTGTGTGTGTTTGGTGTGTGTACGCGTGTGTGCGTGTGTACGTGTGTGTGTATGTGTGGGCGGGATGTTCCTTCTGACCCCCCAAACAAAACGAACCAAACATCTTGATGTCCGCCGCGTTGTTTTGTGGCGTCCATTTTGGGGGAGAGGACAATCCCACACACACACACACACACACACACACACACACACACACACACACCACCCACACGCACACACACGCACACACACACACACACACGAACAAAACGCGGAGAGATGAGAAAACAATGACGAGTGAAGAAAGGGTCCAACAGACCGCACACTCCCAAATCCGCACACTCCCAAATCCCCCTTCCTCGATCGGTGGGGGGAGGAAGGAACGTGCACTTTGCACCTTTCGTGCCCCTCTTGGGCCCTGAGGGGGGCCCCTTTCAGGGCACACGAGGTGCGCCTGTCGCCCCCCCCCCCCCTCATCTGTCGCCCCCTCCTCCTCCTCCTCCCCTCCCTCCTCCTCCTCCTCCTCCTCCTCCCCCTCCCCTCCTCCTCCTCCTCCTCCTCCTCCTCCTCCTCCTCCTCCTCCTCCTCCTCCTCCTCCTCCTCTCCTCCCCTCCTCCTCCTCCTCCTCCTCCTCCTCCTTCCCCCTCCTCCTCCTCCTCCTCCTCCTCCTCCCTCCTCCTCCTCCTCCTCCTCCTCCTCCTCCTCCTCCTCCTCCTCCTCCTTCCCCCTGCGCAACGCCCGCTCTTGGCAAGACCTTCGGCCTCCCGGGGGCCCTCACCGTGGGGGGGGCGCGCGGCCCCCTGCCCTCGCGCGCTGACAAGAAGAACACGACAGACTGTCCCTCTCTGTGCGCGCGTGTGCCGGCAAAGGCCTGGTGGTAACCGATCTGGGCGTGTCCCGCTCTGGAGCTCGCTGTGCTGGACCAGCCGGCGGCCACGACAAGGGTGTGCGTGCGTGGGGGGGGAGGGGGGGCAAGACAAGGCAAGCGCCGATTGCGCCCCGAGGGGCGGCCCTCTGAGAGCACGGCGGGGGCGCGGGAGCGCCGAAACTCAGATGTCGTAGTGCACGATTGCTGTACGAGCCCGCCTCTGCATCATGGGCGCCACCGACATGGCCCTTCCCAGAAACTTGAGCACGGGGCGTTGCGCGAAGAAGGGGCACTGTGTGGAGGGAGGGGCATCATGCCTGGGCCTCGAGGCTCTCCCATCTCCTCCATCTCCTCCTCCTCCGCCTCCTCCTCCCCCTACTCCCCCTACGTGCCCCTCCTCCTCGTCCTCCTCGTCCTCCTCGTCCTCCTCGTCCTCGTCCTCGTCCTCGTCCTCCTCCTCCTCCTCCTCGTCCTCCTCCTCCTCCTCCTCCTCCTCCTCCTCCTCTGCGTGTCGGAGGATCAAACAAACGCGACAACGGCTCAGGATGGAGAGGCCGATCCCCGGGCAGGGGCCCAGGAGCCCTGGGCAAGCCACTCGGCGGCGCGCCCCGGGGGAGGGGGAAGCGCGAGGGGGCGGGCCCTCACAGAGGGCGGTGGCCGCAGGGCTTCTCGGCAGGCTTCTCGGAGGGGGAGGGGGAGGGGGAGGAGGAGGAGGAGGAGGAGGAGGAGGAGGAGGAGGAGGAGGAGGAGGAGGAGGAGGAGGAGGGCAGGCCTGCTGCGTGCACTGCCCCAACCGCAGGGTCGTGCGGTGGGGCCGCGCGTGGGCGCCGCCGAGCTGCGCTTCCGACTCGGGCTTGCCTAAGGGGTTCTTATTGGTCAAAGGCTGGTGCCTGCTGGTGTTCGGGTGCCCGAGTTATCCGGGATAACTCGGGTCCGGGGTAACTCGGGTTTGGATTCCCGAAAAAGGAACCCGAGTTATCCCTGACCCGAGTTACCCCTGATGATTCGGGGCTCTTGGACGCCCGATTCATCCGGGGTAACTCGGGTCCGGGGTAACTCGGGTTTGGATTCCCGAAAAGCGAACCCGAGTTATCCCTGACCCGAGTTACCCCTGATGATTCGGGGCTCTGAAGTGTTACTTGGACCGCTTCTCGGAGGTTCCTCGGGTTCCGCGGGTTTTCTCGGGCTCCCCACCCCCAGTGCCTCCTGCTGTCACGTCGCCCGCTCCTCGGGGGTTCCCCGGGCTCTGCCCCGAGCAGTGCCAGTCAAAGCCAAGCACTGCCAAGCAGCGCCAAGCAGTGCGCCCAACGATGCTCCCATGCACTAGGCCTTCCCCTGGTTGGGGTCGCGCCCGCCGGTTCATGACAGAAACAACGGCGTTGGATATTTTGGGGCGGCAGCGCTGCTTCAACCCCGGGAGGATGAGGAAGGGGTTCTCGGGTGCGGTGAGGGGCCTCGAATCTCGGCGCCACTTTCGGGGGGAATCTCTCGGAGCGTTTTTTTGTTTGTTCCAGGCGAGAGCGAGCGTGGGGCCGCAAGCCCTAAAGCCTAAAGTTATGTTCGAACGTCCCCGCGCGGGCCCAGCACGAGCCCGAAGTGGGCCTCCAAAAAATCGGCACCTGACCTGGCATTCCAGGTGACCCTCCAGGCCCAGAGAGTCCACGTGCCGAAACTCCTCGAGAGGAGGGTGGGCGGAGCCGAAATCTTGAGGACAGCAGATTGTCGGATTGCGCGCGCGATGAACCTGGCGGCTGTCGCGAAAGAGTGGCGCTGCAACTCGCAGAAACTGTAAAGAACAGTCAGACAGGCCGGCTGAACTAAAAAGCGGTGATCTGTCCGGACGGGACGCGTCGAACCGAAGGAAGGAATCCGTACCTCCCTCCCATCTCTCATGAAATCCCCATCCCCCACAGTAAGTGGCGACGGACGGATCAAGACATATTCTGCTCGCGTGCCGCGCCCTACACGGGCATTGTGGAGGAGAGGCGGAGGGAGGGAATTCGCCGGCCCAAGGGCCAGAGGCGTGCTAAGATCTCCGGTAACTGCTAAATAATACTTAACCTCATGCCCGTGAGAATAAACACTAGGGAATAATAAAGTTCGGGGTTCAGGGAGAGATAATAAAAGTAGCCCAGCAGACCTCAGCAATATCTCGAAGTAAGAGATGATCAAGAGGAGACCAAGCCGAGCACGTTTTGAGACATCCTTGGCGTTTAGTTTTCATAGAAATATCATCATCAATGGCTTATCTCTCATGAAAATTGTTTTTTGTAAGTGCTCGTGTAGGGTAGCTCATGTGCCTCAATTTCCATGGATAATCAACCCCAGAGATAAAAAAGTTCAGGCGAGCGTGGGGACAGAGAGAAATATAAAAGAAGAATAATACAGTAGAAGAATAAAAAGAAAGAAGAAGGAGAGGATAATAAGAAGAGGACGAAGAAAGGAAAAATTCCAAAGTTCCAAATCTATGAATTTTAATTTACAAACGCTTTATGAAAATTGTGTTTTTGGATAATCAACCCCAGGGATAAAAAAGTTCAGGCGAGCGTGAGGACAGATAGAAATATAAAAGAAGAAGAGGAAAGTAGAATACTTATAAGAACATTGCTCGTTTCGTTTGAGTCTGCCTCCCAAAATTATTGGTTTCGCTTGACACATCCTGAAAAAGTGTGATCGCTTCGCTTGATGTTGCTATACCAACATCGCTTGATGTTGCTATCTCAACATAGCGTTTCGAGGTGATAATGAAGTTCGGCCTCAGCGCTCGCCGCCCAATTTGAATTTTGTATAGGGCGACGATAATCAACTCTAAACACTGAAGGGGGGGGTCCCTTTATTATCATCGGCATGCGGTTATACTTCGCGCGCGCGGGGCGGCCCCTGGGGGTCCCCGGACGAAAAGTACCCTGGGCGCCGCCCCCGTGGCCCTCCAGAGGGCCCCAAGAAGGGCCACGAGGCCGCCAAGAGCCCTCCAAGACGGTTCAAGAGTGCTCCGAGATGCCACACGATCGTTCCAAGACGCCCAAGATGGCTCCCAGACGCCCCAAGAGGCCTCCAAGAGCCCTCCCTAGAGGGCCCCAAGAGGCAAAATTCATTACTTGTCCTTGGGTTTTGGGCAGATTTTGGCGTGTCCATCTCTTCGGCTTCCCGACGCCCCAAGACGGCCCAAGAGGCCCCCAAGATCGCCCCAAGAGGGCCCAAGAAGCTCCCAAGAAGGCCCCAAGATGGCCCAAGAGGGCTCCAAGACGGCCCCAGAGGCATCCAAGACGGCCCACGAGGGGCCCAAGAGGGCCCCAAGCGATGCCCCAAAGGGGGAACACAAAACAAAACTTCGGGCCCTCGGCCTTAAGAAGCCCCCAGGAGGCCTCAAGAGGCCCCTGAGCGGCCCCAAAAGCCCCCAAGAGGCCCTCAGGAGGCCCCCAAGCGACGCTGAAGAGGCCCCCCAGCGGCCCCAAGAGGCTCAGTCATGCGAAATGGGCCGGCGGAATGAGCGAAGCGATTCAATAATAAGTGACAGAGAGAAACAGGGCTGGGACACAACAGAAGCAGGGATGGGAGGAGGGAGGGGGCAACGAGGACCCAAACCACATTAATATGGTTGGGAAAAAATGTGCGGTCGAGGCTTCAGACTCTGAGGCGCTGGCGGCTTCGCACTGGTATCCAGCTGAGGCCCCATAGATGTCACCACGCTCAAATCTGATCCATGAGCTGATGCTTTTTCGCGTCGAACTCTTCCTGAGTAAGCGCACCTGCATCGAGCAACTGCTTGAGCGACGTGATCTTCTGGGCAACGTCTTGAGCCCCAATGACAACGGCGGTCGCTGGGGCCGCCATCATGTGTTGTCCTGGCGCGCCATTGGGCGGCCATGACAGACTAGCCGGCAAGGTAAAAATGACGTTGTAGCCCAGAGGTGGCCCCCCAGGAATAGATCCACGCTGCCCCTGCATCATCAAAGGCTGCCCTTTCGAATCCACCCAATTCCCCCCGAAGGCGCCCGCCATTTCTGTCATCTCAATGCGAACCCCAGTCAATCCCAGACTGCCAGGAAGCTCCTTCAGCTTCGCGTTGAACTCGTTGATCTTCAGCTTCAGGTAGCACAGAGGACAGGAGAGGATTCCCAGCGTGAGCTGGCAGAGCATCATGGCGCAGAATGATAAGGCAAAATTCCCGGTGGGGCTGTTTGCAAACTCGGACCGGAGGGCGTCCATGATCTTATTGTAGTCGCCCTCAGCCACGTGTGCCCGAAGTGCGGGTTCCCACGGCGGGAATAACTGGTTGCCCTGCGTATTCCAACCAATGTTGGCCCAAATCTCCTTGGGTTTCATCGGGTTCTGGTAGATGCGGCCGGCATACGTCAAATTTGCCATTGCAGCGAAATTGGCAAGGAGGTCCTCAGACTGGCCACGCGGGAACGACTGAAGAAGGCAACTTGGGTCGAAGTGGACTCTTTGCAATAGTGGCTTGAGCCAAAATGGCTTGAGCCAAAATGGCTACGGAAATCTCTCGGAACGCTCTTGGGCGGTTCTCCTTCTCTCACCGTCCCTGCACCAACCGGTCGGAAGACGCGGGTTGAAACAGAAAGTAGCACGGCCTCGGACGTGTAGTGGATCTCCGCCCGTCCCTTGAAGCCGAAGGAGGAACCACCATTCGATCCCCGAAATGGGACATCCCCTAAATTGTAGTGGAATCTGGGGATACAAAACGTTTCAACGACCGACGGGTATGTCTTCACATGAGAACGGGCGGCCAACACCGCCCTCATGGCCGACGCTGGGAAATTCTGTCACCATCCCTGGGAGCCAGGACGGAGGTCGCCAGACAAAATCATGGCGGTGTGTATGGCCGCCTCTGGTGGATACAAGCCGGGCATGCCAACAAAGATGTGCCTGGCATGAAGTGTCTCGATGGGGGGAGACTAACAGCGAACAGCGATGGCGCGCCACTGTGGGGACCGCATGAGCGTGTTACACCGTCGTCGTTGCCAAAAAGACATGTTGGCGTAGTGTTTTCCTCCAACGGTATCGCGCTGACGGGTTCCCGACGGCGGCGTGTCATTGATACTGTTTTTCCCCCCCGAGTGTCGAGGGTGCCCCAGGGGACACAAGGGGGCCTCCTGGGAAAGCATGGGGGCGCCTTTGGTCCAGGGGCACCCCTGGCGGACACCCCGCGCAAGAGGGGCGGGGACATGCTGGCCAGGCACGCCAGAAGCACGGGGGGGGGAGAGGGCCTCCTCCTCCTCCTCCTCCTCCTCCTCATCATCATCATCATCATCATCATCATCATCATCATCATCATCATCATCATCATCAGCATCAGCATCAGCATCAGCATCAGCATCAGCATCAGCAGCAGCAGCATCATCAGCATCAGCATCAGCATCAGCATCAGCATCATCATCATCTCCTCCTCCTCCTCTCCTCCTCATCATCATCATCATCATCCATCATCATCATCATCATCATCATCATCATCATCATCATCATCATCACCATCATCATCATCACCATCACCATCACCATCATCACCATCACCATCACCATCATCATCATCATCATCATCATCATCATCATCATCATCATCATCATCATCATCATCATCATCATCATCATCATCATCATCATCCGTTTTCCCTGTTCCGCATGTGTGCGTCCTCCACATCCTCTTCTTGTCTGTCTCCTCCTCCTCCTCCTCCTCCTCCTCCTCCTCCTCCTGTCCCCCCCTCCGCATCCACCTCCTGCTGCCCCTGGAAGTCTCGGAAGCCCGCGCAGATCAGAGAAATCCACGTGGACCTCGGACCGCTCATATTAATGATTGCTTTCTTCTGCCAGAACCGAACGAGGGAATGGTGGACACCGGCGACCCGACGACGGAAGAGAGAGGCGTCGCCCCTCGCGAGGCCCTCTGATGCGACTTTACAGGACTCGACCCTCCTCTTTCTCCTCCCGCCGCCTCCCCCGAAGTGAGGCTTCGGGCTGCGCACAGACAGCCCCCAATGGCAGCCCCGGCTGGCCTCAACCCGAGAAGTCCGGTGTGGTCTCAACGACGCAACGCTGGGGCGTGGAGCGCACCAGGGGCGCCGCTGAAGGCGGCGCACACCAGGTGTTGAGACCGCCCCAGAATATTCGAGGGCCTGTCGAGACCAGCGGGGACTACCCGGGGGGGCTGTCTGCGCACAGCCCGAAGCCTTACCACTCCTCACCCTCCTCCTGAGACCCTGATGGCGAAAAAGTCGTCCGACGTACACCCTGCGAAATGCTTAAGAAATCATGGGATAAGAAATTCATAGTCTCAGAAATTGAATAAAACTCAGAACTTCTATCAAAATCTTGGGATTTACATTGAAAAGTTAAGAATAATCGAGACTCTGGACGAAAACTTAGGTTTTCTTAAGCATCGCCTAAGGTGTAGCCATCCCCCCCCCAGGGCCGGTCGGCCCTGGAGGGGGGGCTTTTTCTCCTTCCTCTCTTCTCCCTCTCTCTATTCACGTCTGCTGCACGGCCCCGGGGGGGGTGATCAAACCAAGAGCCAGGCGACTCCTGGAGCGTTCGCCACCCCCCCTCCCTCCTCCCGCTGCACCCCTCCTCCCCTTCCTGGGGGAAGGGTGCGGGAGGCGCCGACGCCCCGACGACGAACCAGGCAGGCGCGGCCCCTCGCGAGGCCCTCCAGTGGCATCTCTCCGATGCTGTTCCGCCCTCCCCCCTCCTCCCTCCTCCCTCCTCCTCCTCCTCCTCCTCCTCCTCCTCCTCCTCCTCCTCCTCCTCCTCTTCCTCCCCTCCCCCCCCCCTCTCCTCCTCCTCCCCGCTGCCCCTGCCTCCCCCCCATTCGCGGGTTGCTGGAGGTGCCCCTGGCCCAAGGTGCCCCCAGCTTGTCGCCCCCATTTTGGGCCCACGGGGGCCCTCTGGTCCTCGTGAGAGTGGTGCTCTGGTCTAGGGCTACGACATCTATGCATATCCACTGCTCCTGGCCAGGCCAATCCTGGGCCCAGGAGCGGTGTATACGCCCTCCTGGCCTGGCCAGGGAGGCATATACACATCTCCTGGGCCCAGGATGGGCCTGGCCAGGAGCAGTGGATATGTATAGATCTCGTCGCCCTATGGTCCTCCTGAGAGCGGGGCCTCCTTAGAAATCCTGGGGGCACCTTGGGCCACGGGACCCTTCTAGCATTGAGTCGGGCCTGTCCCTCTACAGGAGGAACACGAATCAAAACTATTAGAAATTAGTCCGGGGATTATTATTTGAGCATGTTTGAATAATTTGTTGGTTATTTGTTGTTGATACTTCGTTTTTCATCCAAAATCCGCCTGTAGGAGGACGTGCCCGACCTACCTCTGGCAACACCCGACGCCCTTCCCCTCGCCTTACTCGGGAGCGGCCAAGAGGGGGGTGTCCAAGAGGGGGGGGTGCAAATCATGACCAGCGGCATGTGCGCGGCCCAGCGGGGGGCCAGGAACGTAATGAAATAAGAAGAGGCGCCATGAAATTTCGGGAAATATCATGGCCCACGCCATGATATCCACCCCCCCCTAGTCATCACCCCCCTCTTTTCCGCCCCCGACTTACCACTCCTACCCCTCTTCCTCCAACTTCGGAGCAGGGCGAGCTGGGACAACGGCAGCTCACATTCGGTCCCCAGACTCTAGACCCCCCCCCGGGGTCCAAGCACACAGACGTTCCGAACTGCATCCGGCAGCGGCGACGAAGAGAGCCCCTCCGCGAAGCCCCCGACGACCCGGTGCCGTTGCCTCACCTCGCCCTTCTTCCAGGCGGGGGGGGGGGGAGGAGGAGGAGGAGGAGGGAGGAGGAGGAGGAGGAGGAGGGAGGAGGAGGAGGAGGAGGGAGGAGGAGGAGGAGGAGAGGAGAGGAGGAGAGGGAGGAGGAGGATGAGGAGGAGGAGGAGGGGGGAGGAGGGGAGGAGGAGGAGGAGGAGGAGGGAGGAGGGAGGAGGGGGGAGGGGGCCTCGTTCTTGGCCAGGAAGTCCGGCCCGTCCTCGGCGTAGAGATGCAGCAGGACCTCCCGCGGGGGCGGGCGCGCGCCGCGGCGAGCAAACCGCATGGAAAATTGCTTCGCCGCCGCTCCCCCCAAAAGGTTAGGGAGCCCACCAAAGGACGCACGCGCCCAGCTTTGTTGAAGGGGCCCAAGGACACACAAATAAATACACACAAATAAAATAATCCCCCATATTTTCCCATATTTTCTGGGTTTCTGTCTTCCCCCCCACTTCCCATATTTTCCCATATTTTCTGGGAATCGCCGATTAATTGTGTCTGTGTGTTTTTTCCCCTTCTGATATGTACATGAACACGGCCCCTCGACTCGCGAGGCCGGCCGCGTGATGCGAACATTTGTGCAAATGCGTGCTCTCGAAACCAGCGTGGATTCGTGTACATGTACGTCCTGCTTTCGCTCCTGAAAGGGGCCCCCCCCCCCGCCGGCGTGGCATCGGCCCCCCTGGCCGACACCTCACGCGCGGCCGGCTGCTCCGCTCTCGGGCGGAGGAGGCGTGTTCCGTCCGGGCGTGGGCCACCGACTTCGGCCTCGAGGGGGCCCGCTGTGTGGGGCCCTGCAGGGCCATCCACTCGGGGGGGGGGCACAACGGTGGTGTTCGGGGATGGACAGACCCCCCTTTAGTAAAACGTGGTTTAGTGAAAACGACCCGACGCCCACACCTGGCGGGCGCCAGCCTGGAAAAGAACGGCCACGGCGCCCTCTCGAGGACCGAAAACGGACAATTCACTAATCGACGTGTCACTGGTGGGTGTTCTGTCCACCCCCGAGGTGTGGGGGCGCCCCGATGGTCCGCTACCGAAAATTTCCGGTAGCGCTCCGCAGAGATCGGTCGCTGCCGAAATACCGAAATGTAGCGCCCAATACCGGTATCAGAGCGTTCTGAAATCCGCTTTTTCAACGCCCTCAAACGAAGATCCGGTCGCTACCGAAATTCGGGGTGCGTCGAAATCGCTACCGACAATTTCCGGTACCAGACCATCTGGGCGGGGGTGGGGTCGGAGGGAAAATTGCTCCGGAAGGCCCCTGGAAGCAGGAAGCGCGTTGAAAGGGGGCATCATCCAGCCGGGCCCGTTCCCCGGCCCCACCTTGGGACAACCCTCCCTCGACGAACCCCCTCAATCAACAACCCTCGACGAACCCCCTCGACGAACCCCCTCGACGAACCCTCCCTCGACGAACCCCCTCGACGAACCCCCTCGACGACCCACCTTGGAACAACCCTCCCTCGACGAACCCCCTCGACGAACCCTCCCACCTTGGGACAATCCACAACCCTCTCAGATCTCTGTCAACAATGCGTGGTTCAATCCGGGCGCGCTTCACCGACTTCGGCCCCGTGGGGCCCGCGATGGGGCCCCAGGGCTGTCAACAAACCGGCTCCGGGGCGCAGGCTTGCCCTCAGGGGAGTGGTCAGGGCCTCTGGGGCCGCTGACCGAGACATCATACCCGCCGGCCTTGCGAGATAAACAAGAAACTGAACTTCTGGCAGACGCTTTTTTAAACGAGCAAACCATGAACAGTAAACGAAAGGAATTTGCATGATTCGAAAAACATGGATCGAAACACATGAAAGGCGCCCACGAATATGAATCGAAAGGGATGAACAAAAACTGAGCTTTTGGAGATCCGTGCGAGCCTCCGGTAACGTATGCGCATGCTGCATTTCATTCCTCGGCTATCCAGAAGCGCCGCCTGGGGGATCTTCTGCGGGGACGTCGGCAGGCGGTGGACGTGGATATTCTTGCCCCCACCCCCCTCCCAAGGCCAACATAGGTCCGTATCCACCGCCTGCCGAGGCCTCCGAAGATGGATCGCCTGGGCTGTGGCAATGGAGAAAATCCGCCTCGAAGACTTCTCCCCTAAAAAGTCGGGAATCATCTGACCCGGGTGAATCCAGACCCGGGTCAATCAGGCCTGCAAAATCCTGCAAAATCCTGCACCCAAACCCGGGTCAATGCGAAGGATCCTGCAATATCCTGCAGGATCCTGCACCCAAACCCGGGTCAATGCGACCCTGGCCCTGCAGGATCCTGCAAGATCTGGCGCCCTGGCTGACCCCCGTTTGCATTGACCCCCGTCTCAAGGCTCCCGAAAAAGGGGACGTGTGCTGCTTCCGGCGGGTTTCGCGGGACCTTTCCCCACTTCGGGGGGTGGGCTGGTGGGGCTGAGGTCATATTGGTACTATCGCGAGGACCGGGATCATGTAGACGATGCTGGCGAGGAGGGGGGACGACGAGGGGAGGGGGATGGCGAGGAAGGAGGGGCGAGGGGACGGGAACAGCCGGCATCGAATGACGAACTCGGATCGGATCGGAACCTGCACCACGGCGGACTGCTCCAGCACGGACTCGAAATCGATGCGGCATGGCTGTGCCTGAAAGCTTAGACTTCGCCATGCAAGCCTCGGCCAACATCAGATCGACAGCACATCGGGACCGGATCGGATCGAGCCAGCTCAGACCGGCCCCGAAGTGGATCGATCGGATCGAAATGGACCCTTACGGGTGCAGGAGGAAGAGGAGCGGAAACATAGAGGTGCGAGGAGAGAAGCACATGGGGGGAGGGAAGGGTCAAGCTGGCGGGGCGGGCCGAGGGGGGGGTAAGAAGACAATGAAGGGGCCCCAGGACACACAAATAAATACACACAAATAAAAATATTCCCCATATTTTCCGATATTTTCTGGGTTTCTGTCTTCCCCCCCACTTCCCATATTTTCCCATATTTTCTGGGAATCGCCGATTAATTGTGTCTGTGTGTTTCTTCCCCTCCTGAGACAAGAGGAGCACCAAGTCAGCGACCCATAAATCCGCCGACCCTGTCGGCGTGTGGGAGAGGCTTTTCCGGCCTTCCCCACAACGTCGTCGCCTCTTCTGCTTTCCGAGGGCTCCCGACACAAGTCCACGCAAGAATTGAACAACGTCGTCCTTCAGTCGAAAAGAAGCCCCTTCCCTTGATCCCTTCCCCGCCGGGGGGGGGGGGTCCCGGGGCAACTGAACTCAAGGGGGGTCCCCCTACTCCCGGGGGGGGGTCCCCCCTACTGCCGGGGGGTCCCGATCGGATACGCATACGCAGCCCCCCGCCTCTCATCCTCCTGCGTCCTGGAGCTCCGTTGGCCCTCTGGGGCCGTCTGCGGCCCTTTGATCCCTTCCCCGCCGGGGGGGAGGGGGGGGTCCTGGAGCAACTCCCGGGAGGGGGTCCCCCCTCGGATACGCAAATCCTCCTGCGTCCTGGGGCTCCGTTGGCCCTCCGGGGCCGTCTGCGGGCCCTTTCAGTCTATCTTAAGGCTCCTTTGAGACCTTTCGCTATTTTTAGACTCTCTTGGCAGCCTCTGGCGGCACTCTTGACAACCTCTGCAGGCGTTTTTTGACCTCGCTTGACGCCGTCTTGGAACCCTCTCGGGCCACTTGAAGGCGCGCTTTGCCTAATTAACTTGGCACTCTCTGGAGCCGTTCCCGACCCCTGGAGGAGGCCTCTTGAGCTGTCTTCGGACGACCTTGCAGGCATCTGGCGCCGTCTTCGAGCCATATGAGGGCATCTTGGACTCCTCTACCTCCAGTGTATTCGTCGTCGCTGCCTGCAGGGTCGGCGGCATCGCCCGTAAGGCCTTCGCAATACGACGCACACCCTCGGTCAGAGTGAGGGGGCCGAACGATCCTACACCGTCCCTGCAAGCGTCACTATAATTGTTGTAGTCGCCGTTCCACGGTACGGATGCTCGTTGTTGTTCGTCGTCCTCGCCCGCGACCCGCCCGCGACCCGCCCGCGTTACACCCGCGGCCCACCCTCATACACTCAACATATACAATATCAGCGCCCGCGGTGGGCTTCTTCAACTTTGCCACGTAGACCGCCAACGACACCCGCCCGACTCTTCTCCGCGAGTGCGGCGTGGCGCCTATGGTAACACTACTTAGGTGCGACGATTGGAGCATTGCTGGCGCGGCAGGAGATTACTTTACAGAACTCCGCCACCGCACCGTGAGCACTGAGTGGAATGTCGTCAGGCCTCTCGGGATACAGTCGGGGCATTGACCGAAGGAACGAGAAATAAAGAACGAGGCCCCTTGTTTTCCTAGAGTGCAACTTCTATCTCCGATCGAAAACCGAAGGTAAGCCTAAGGCAAGCACTAACACACCTCAGGAACACGGAGCCCCTCCCAGACGAACAGGGTTCCTTCTTCCGCGCCCCGACTGCAACCTGTATTGAATATCCTGCATCACCTCAAGACTTGGGCGCCGCGTAATGGGGGGGTCATAAATGGGGGGGTGGCGAGGGTGGTCAAAAAAGGTACCCAGACGGTACCTAAACGAGCCCCCTGGGGCTCTGGAGGGGCCCGAAAGGGGCACGAAAGGGGACCTTTTCTGACCCCCCCGTTTATGACCCCCCCATTTTAGCCACGCCCAAAAGACCCCTGAGTCCGGCTATCTGGGCGCCCGCACACGCTTCTGGGTGCCTGCGGGGCTCGTCGCGCGACTCCTTCCAGGGCCCCGGGAACGCTGGCGGGGACCCGCACTGCCCAGCGAACGCGAGATACCCCCCAAAGTCGGGTCGGGCGAAAGGGAGGATTAGCAAAGGGGGGGTTTGAGAATCAGCTCGCGTAGCTGATTTTCCCGGCGCCTCCCGGCGCCGGAGGCGGCCATGTATCGAGAAATGGGCTCCTCGGTGGGGCCGAAACCAGCTGCATGCAGCAAATTTCGTAACCCCCCCTTTCCCAAACACCCCCTTTCGCCCGGCCCGACAAAGGGCCATCATGGGGCTCTCTCGGAGCCCACGTGGGCTGTCTTGGAAGCATTGGAGGCCGGCCCAATACCCAAAGAGGGCAAAACCATGGAAACCATATTTCCCCGCCAGACAGGTGGGGGTTGGTAGAATTAGCATTCCGCGGCCAGCGAGCACCACTACTCCCACTAATCTTTAGTGGCTCGCCGCGCGTCCTTGAAACATGACGGCACGATCCCGCATAATGCGGCCGCCAAGCCAGAGGACTCCTCATATACCTGGTGTCCCGCCTCACGTCCTCGACAAATGATGGCAGAACCTACGCATGACCCTAATGAAATACGCAAGTTGCAATCCTTGATAACATGCATGCATAACACACACTAGTGACACGACTGAGCGACGCTTGCGTCGCAGAGACAAAGCATTGCTGGCATGCGTGAACGTGGCCAATGAATCGACAGCATGCGTGAGTAGTGGGCACAGACAACATACATACATAATGCGCATGGGCAGCACACATACCGAACCGACGTGACGAACGTACAATTTCCATAAGACCTGGAAGTAAGAGCAGGCACACATCGCACACATGCATAGGTCTCGCATGCTGAGCTGGCGCACGCACCAGATACAATCACCAACAGAACAACAAGTGGACAAACGTACACTACACGAAACGCATCCAGTGGTCGGCGCGACGAACAGACACAAACAATGCTCAAACAACAGCGACCGCCAGGCAGAACACATGAGCAAATCACACGTAATTACTTAGTTTGCTCACACCATATGGGATCATGCGTGACAGAAACACATGCGTGGGCATTATACATACAACGCGTAGACAACGCCCACTAATCCGCGGAAGGGCGAACACACATCTGAAAAGAGAACGTCTCGCGACAGTCCCCGTCCCTTTCTCTGGGCCCTGTCGCGGCCCGGCCGCCTCGCAGTCGCTCTTGGTCTTGAACTTGTGCTTTCCAGGTGCTCTCGCCTGGCGAAGGGGAGGATGCCCAGCCCAGCAAGGGGGCTCGGGAGGAGGTCGCACCTACCAACGATTTACATGCGCTGCTTGCTGACGTCTCGAGCTAGTTGACGCCTGAAGCTTGCGCCAACGCGGCTGGTCGAGGAAGAGGGGCAAGGAGGGAGGGCACAACGACGAACAAACCACAATCAGAGGAAATTGTTTGGTGTTCATTGAAGGTGCTTGCAGGACTCCCAAAAACTTTCGAGTCCTGGAGGTTTCCGAAGGGTTCGGGATGTTCCAATCCATACTTTCAAACCAGTTGGAGGGCCCTGGACGTTGCAAAGACGGTCCCGGAGATCTTCGAGAGGGGCATGGAATGCGGGGACCATCTGGAAGGCTCGCTGGGGGACGGGACAGTCGCATTCAGAAGAAGGGGGAATGTCATAGATAAAGGGAAACTAGGACACACAAATAAATACACACAAATAAAAATAGTCCCCATATTTTCCCATAGTTTCTGGGTTTTTGTCATCCCCCCCAATTCCCATATTTTCCTATATTTTCCTGGGAATCGAGGATTAATTGTGTCTGTGTGCTTTTTTCCCTCCTGAATAGAAACAAACTCTCGGATCTCCGCGCAGATCTCCTGGATCGTCGCTGGACCCCCTCTCCCTGGCGCGATCCGCGTGCCAAGGGGCGGCGCCGGTGGCGCCGCCAGGGGCGCCCGGCGCCGATCCAGAACATCCGCGCGGAGCTCCGACAGTTGTTGTCGATGCAGCATGCGGGCGTCGCTTCATGCATTGGGGGGGCGACACATGGCGGGGGGCGGGGGGGGGGGAGCAAGGCCACTTCTCGGGTACCGGTGGCCGCCTTCTGGGCCCTGCAGGGCCTCTCTTGGGGCCCCGAAGGGCCCCTTTCTGCAGCCACCGCTGCCCCCCCCCCCCAATCATCGCCCCCCCATTCACGCGACGCCCAACCCATGGGCCCCGGGCGGGCCTCGGGCCCTCAGAGACGGAGGAGAGCCGGCCGCCGCGCTTCCTTCTCGCGATAGGCGCAGGAGGCCCGACCCCACTGCGAGTCCTTCGCGAGGAGGGAGGAGGGAGGAGGAGGGAGGAGGGAGGAGGGAGGAGGGAGGAGGGAGGAGGAGGGAGGAGGGAGGAGTGAGGAGGGAGGAGGGAGGAGGGAGGAGGCCTGGCTCCCTCGCGCGATATCATCGCCGCTCGCTGCGCACAATGCCCCCTCTGCCCGCCCCTGGGCGGCGCGTTGGCGGTCGATCTCGGCCCGTGGAGGCGCGCCGGTCGGGCCGCGGAGCGGCGCAGTGTCAGCACTACACAGGGAGGCATTGCAAAAAGGATTGCAAAAAAAACCTTCGAGGAAGGATTGCAAGAAAACCCTTCGAGGGAGGATTGCAAAAAGGATTGCAAAAAGGAGGCATTGCAATCCTTTTTGCAAGCCTTCGAGGCGAGGAGTGCGGAGGGGGGCCCCGCAGGACGCCTCCTCGGACGGCTTCTGACTACCTACCAGACCACCCCAGCCCAACCCGAAGGCCCGAATTTCGGGTTGGGGGGGGGTAAGGGTTCCACATGTGTTTTTGTCGACGTCTCCCGACCCCCCCCCCCCACTGGAAATCGAGGCTCTGGCCGAAAACTTAGGTTTTCTTAAGCATCGCCTAAGGTGTAGAAACAAACTCTCGGATCTCCGCGCAGATTTCCTGGATCGTCGCTGGACCCCCCCTCCCCCTGGCGCGATCCGCGTGCCAGGGGCGGCGCCGGTGGCGCCGATCCAGGGGCGCCCGGCGCCGATCCAGAACATCCGCGCGGAGCTCCGACAGCTGTTGTCGATGCAGCATGTGGGCGTCGCGTAATGCATGTGGGGGCGACACATTGCGGGGGGCGGGGGGGGGGGGGGAGCAAGGCCGCTTCTCGGGTGCCAGTGGCCGCCTTCTGGGCCCTGCAGGGCCTCTTTTAGGGGCCCGGAAGGGCCCCTTTCTGCAGCCACCGCTGCCCCCCCCCCCTCCCAATCATCGCCCCCCAGTCACGCGACGCCCAACCCGGGGCCCCAAGGCGGGCCTCGGACCCTCAGAGACTGAGGAGAGCCGGCCGCCGCGCTTCCTTCTCGCGAGGCGCAGGAGGCCCGACCCCACTGCGAGTCCTTCCTTCGTCTAGTCTTCCTCCTCCTCATCATCATCATCCTGCTCTTCCTCCTCCTCGTCCTCCTCTTCCTCCTCCTCCTCCTCGTCCTCCTCGTCCTCCTCCTTCTCCTCCTCCTCCTCCGTCGCGATCCTCGCCGCTCACTGCGCCATGCCCACTCGGCCCGCCCCTGGGCGGGACGCCGGCGGCCGATCTCGGCCCGTGGAGGCGCTCCGGTCGGGCCGCGGAGCGGCGCACTGTCAGCACCACACAGGGAGGCATTGCAAAAAGGATTGCAAAAAAACCCTTCGAGGAAGGATTGCAAAAAAACCCTTCGAGGGAGGATTGCAAAAAGGATTGCAAAAAGAAGGCATTGCAATACTTTTTGCAATCCTTCGAGGCGAGGAGGGCGGAGAGGGGCCCTGCAAGACGCCTTCTCGGACGGCTTCTGACTACCTACCAGACCACCCCAACCCGACCCGAAGACCCGAATTTCGGGTTGGGGGGGGTAAGGGTTCCACATGTGTTTTTTCGACGTTTCCCGACCCCCTCCCCACTGGAAATCGAGGGTAAATTGAGGCCTTCGGGCTGGGTTGGGGTGGTTTGGTGAGTAGTGAGCTTCTGCACCCGGCGGGCCCGCGAACAGTACGGAGGCCACACCGCGCGGGGAGGGAGTGGGCTTGCGGGGTCCACGCACGGCTTCGGGACTCGGGCCGGTCTCCGAGGACGCCTCGGGCGACTGGGGCCGCCGAGGTCCCCAGATTCGGCGGCGCGCCAGGGGGGGGGACATGAGAAGGGGCGGGCCTCCTCAGAAGGCTCGGGAGTTCTCCGGCCTTCCGAGACGTTGCCTCAGCCTTCCCCGAAGACACAGACAGCTTCTCAGAAGGCCGGAGGGCTTCTGAGAAGCCCCGCCGCCTGCTGAGGACTTCCCCCCCTCGCTCGCCGCCGATAGGCCCTTCGGTAACGCACCTTGCGGTGAGGTCTCTCGGGACTTCGAGGCCACCGCGCGGTCCATCATCACGCGGTCTTGGGGCCTCCGATGCGCCCTGGCCCGTCCGGCTGACGACCGCCGAGGGGCCCCCGAAGCACGGGGGCGCCGAAGAAGCCAAGGGGGGCCCGTCTCGGGACCCGTCTGCGCCAGGGCGGGCAGAATCGCACAGTCCACCCGCACAGACCAACGGCCAGTGGAGAGAACGCTTCGACCCACGGCCGAAGTCGTCGCTGGAGTGCCACCGTGCTGGTTCGCGAGGGCCCCCTGCTCGCGGGGCCATGGGTCTCCTTCCGCGGCGAGGGCTTGTCCATGACCACCGCCTGGGGGGTCGATCCTCGGAGGCCTCGGTGGGTGGGCCTGGACTCGTGCTTGCCCCTCCCCCGAGGGCTGGAGTCTATCCATGTCCACCGCCCGCCGAGGTCCCCGAAGATCCATCCACAGGCGGTGGTCACAGTCAGCCCACATCATAGGAATGAGCGACTTTCCAGGGCTACCCTTGCATACTTCCCCTTCGGCCCAGCCTTGGCCGCGTTCGCCGGCCGCGCCCCGCTCGCAAAGTGCCGGCAGGGCCTTCCAAGGCCCTTGCATCCTCATCGTGAGTCCTTCCGATGCGGGTTGACCGTACCAAACATCGCAGAAGCAACAAAGAAAAAAAACAGAAAAAAAAAAGAAAAAAAAAAAAAAAAGAAAAAAAAAGAAAAAAAAAAAAAAAAAAAAAAAGAAATAAAAAAAACAAAAAAGAAAAAAGGAAGAAAAAAAAAGAAAAAAAAAGAAAGAATAAAAAAAAAAGAAAAAAAAAAAAAAAAAAAAAAAAAAAATAAAAAGAAAAAAAAGAAAGAAAAAAAAAAAAAAACAAAAAAAAAAAAAACAAAAAGAAAAAAAGAAAAAAAAGAAGAAAAAAAAAAAAAAAAAAACAAAAAAAAAAAAAAACTAAAAAGGAAGAACAAAAAAACAAAATGAAAAAAGAGAATAATAACAAAGCAGAAGCCACCAAGAGTCCGCGCGGACTTCTCGGATGGGTCGGCGCGCCCCCCCCCTCCACCCCTGAGATCCGGCGCTGCGGGACATCTGCCACACCGCCAGAAAAACCACAACCGGAACCCCTGGCCTATCACCCCTCCTGCGTCCTTTTCCGAGCCGGCTCGAGCTGTCCTGGCCCCGCGGTCCGAGACCCGGCGACAGCGCCCGCCGCGAAACAATCGCAGCGCCCACGTCTCGGAGTCGCTGGCGCGCGGTAGCGCACCAGTCGGGGATGGACAGACCCCCCTTTAGTAAAACGTGGTTTAGTGAAAGCGACCTGAGGCCCAAACCTGGCGGGCGCAAGCCTGGAAAATAACGGCCACGGCGCCATCTCGAGAACCGAAAACGGACAATTCACTAATCGACGTGTCACTGTTGGGGTTCTGTCCACCCCCGAACCAGGGGCGGCGCCGGTGGCCCCGCCAGGCGGGCCCACCGCGGCAGTTCCCCGACGCTCGAGGGCCAGGGCTCCACAGGGTCCCCACCTCCGCCTCGCGGCGGAGGTGGGGGAGGCAGGACCAGGAGGAGGAGGAGGAGGTGACGTCACGGGCCTGGATTGCGCCCATTGGCTTGTTTGAGAATAGTGGAGCAGGAGGAAGAGGAGGAGGAGGAGGAGGAGGAGGAGGAGGAGGAGGAGGAGGAGGAGGAGGAGGAGGAGGAGGAGGAGGAGGAGAAGACTCACGGTGTCAGGACGCTGGGAAAAGAACCCTGGACGCTTATGCACAATTCGAAGCAGCGCGCGCTTCCAAGCCTCAGTGCACCAGCCAGTGCAAGTCAACGCTTATGCGCGGCAGTAGCAAATCTTGCGCGACGCCAAGCGTCGCGCAAAAAATTCGCATCGGCGCGCAAAATGTTTCAAAAGGTGCGCAAGCGCCTACCAACGCCGTGACAATTCACATAATCCAACCTGGTAGGACTCCTGGGTGCGAGCTCAGACCCTGGCCACGCGATCAAGCTCTCAGGATCTCCATTCCGCACTCAAGAGGGGACCCACGTCTCAGCCGGGGGAGAGAAGGAGCAACGGTGGGATGGGGGGTGGGGGGGTGGGGGGGCGCGAAGGATGACGGGGCGGGACTCGGAGCGGTGGGCGGGACGCACAGCCCGACAGGGTGGAGTGGGGGGAGGAGGAAAGGAAGGAAGGATGTTTCATCAGCTGTCCCCCGAGGGCAAGGCAAATGGAAGTGAAAGGAGGCGGGGAAAGAAAGCGGAGGAGGGGAGGAGGTGGTGGTGGTGGAACAATCGCGGTGCGATACGAAAAGGAAACTACGAGCGCTTACGAGCGAGCGTCTCGGCCTTGCTTAAAGCCTTCGGCCATCGATCGGTTTCGATCCGATTTAGATACTCACCTCGATTCGCAATCGCGTGCCCAGGACATTCTTGACCTAGGCCCCTGATGACACTACTGGCATAATACCCGCACTGTGAGCAATACCAGAAGTCCAAGGATTGGTGCAGACGCATATTATGGCAACGTGTACCCCACCCCCCTCCCTATGTGTAATTCAACCCCCGACTGCGATGCAGAGAACCTACCATCGATGTGCACGGGCAAAAAAATACTGATCCACTGAGACTTCGTAGCGAAAGTGGACGAGGTACAGCATAACGTACAACGCTTGCCAGACTCATCGAGAGAGTGTGTAGTCGCAAACTGCCAGCACACGGAAGGGGCTGGCGGTGGCGGAGGCTCACAACCAACAACTTTGTTTTCGAGAGGCACCGCTGCTCCGCAACAACTCACTTTCAGTATCCAGAGCGTCGATCGTAGCTCTGATTAATATCAACCAAATATGATACGCTTCTTTTTCTATTTTGTGCACACGAAATCTTTCCTCCTCGGCGACTCTGACTCGACGAGCTGCCAAGCCAGCAAGCTCGTCGACTGCGGTGTTGCCCACGACCAACTGCGCCACACCTTGAATCAACTGCTGCGGCGACAGGTGAGAATTTACAAACATCACAACGAACTCCGCATTGTCGCGCTGCCCCATGGCAGCGCCGATCTTGTGCAACAAGTCGGCGTCCTCACCTGCTGGCGAAGCAAAGCGACGGGCAAACAATCCGTCTGCCACCGCACTGTTGTCTGTGACACAATGCGTGAGGCCTCTGGACATCTGAACGGCGATGAACAGCGCCATCAGCTCCCCCCTGGGCACGCTCTGCCGTGTTCCTGGGAGGCCTCCCGAGACCGACCCCGCGAGGGCCAGCGGGTCGAAGCTGATGACGCTGACGACGGCCAGCCCTGCTCGCCGAAATCGGCTGTCGGCTGACTCAGGGCCGCCGCTGGCGTCCCCGAAGAGCCACAGCGGCCGCTGTGCCGAGCCAGTCCCGAAAGAGAGGCCGTCCGAGCTGCTCGCGGCCATGCCGGTCACGTGCCACTCCTCGTGTTCGGGCGGGGGTGCGACCGTCGTCCAGCTGGCGGGTATGAGGCCCCGCAGCCAGTAGCACTCCTCGCTCTCGCCCCTGCTGTGCGCCTGCGGGAGTAGATCCTGCGACCGATCATACGCTGGCGTCCCGATGTTCTTGCTGCAACTCCAGCCTCTGTGGAACATGGTCTCCTCGGCCTCGCCGCGCCTGGGACACAGGCGTGAGAGACCAAGCGCCTTGGCCCTCGGCCAGCTGCCGCCCGTGGCCACCAGGCTGAGCACCTCGGCCATGCGGTTGCCCATCGGCTGGCTGGCGAGCTGCTGGTGGAGCTTCCTCATCGAGTACACGTCCACGCCGTGCTCAGCTCCGCCTCCGCAGAAGTGCTCACCAGCACGCTGCCATAGACGTGAATACATAGAACTCTGGAGATCCTTGACCAAACCTGAAGGAGCATCGACGTCCACGAAGCCCGTCCAAGCCGTGTCAGGAAACTGCCACTCAATGATATCACCTGACGAGGTTGGCGGCATACTCCAGCACACGGCAGACTGCGGGTCCCAGCCGTTGTCGAGCAGGAGTGCCACCATCGCAGACAAGGGTCCACGAATGTGGCGCGAGCGGTGATTGGGCTCGACCTGCTTCAGGTGAGCCACGACCGTCGGCCATGCTGCATGAATCCCTGCTCTCAGACACGGCTCCTGTTACCAAACTCGAAACCAAAGGCGTACACACTCCCCTGGCATGCGCAGCGCTGGGCCCGATGGCGTCTTCAAGCCGATGAGGGTGGTCAGACATCGACCTGGCGCCACCGAACCAACTGCCGCGCCTAGTCTGCGCCTGTACGTCGTAAGGTATGATCCGAAGACCCCGTGAACCTGGTACGCGTAGCTCCCTGCCGCCTGCGCTCCAAGCCTCTCCAGCTTGGATGTGACAAGGGGCCTGCGCCCTGCTGCTTTGAAACGTCTGATCTGACTGTGCATCTTACCATACTTCTGAAAACGAGCTCTGCGAGTGGCCCTCGTGTGAGTAGTGCCATTGCCCAGGTCTGACCCCAGGTATGCTGCCGTTCTCTGCGCCTTGACTGTGAACCCAGCCCTCCGCCAAGCTCTTGAATTTTTGACGGCATATTTGAACACTGGACACGTGACCACACTTTTCTTTGCCACCTGGAGATGAACCTGTGCGAGCCCTCAGCACGTGTCCCGCAAGCAATGGATCCTGTCCGTCACAACTGATGCATTGGAACCAACAACTCGCTGCGAAAGATCATCCACCCATATTCTGTGGCTCGTCCGCGGATGAGCCGTACGAATACGCTGCAGCGTGAAATATACAACGATACGTGCAAATCTCGTGCCCGATCAGACGAGGGACGAGGAAGGAGGGACAGGAGGGTGGGAGGGGAGAGGAGGACTCACCCCTCCCATTGCCCAGGTCTGACCCCAGGTATGCTGCCGTTCTCTGCGCCTTGACTGTGAACCCAGCCCTCCGCCAAGCTCTTGAATTTTTGACGGCATATTTGAACACTGGACACGTGACCACACTTTTCTTTGCCACCTGGAGATGAACCTGTGCGAGCCCTCAGCACGTGTCCCGCAAGCAATGGATCCTGTCCGTCACAACTGATGCATTGGAACCAACAACTCGCTGCGAAAGATCATCCACCCATATTCTGTGGCTCGTCCGCGGATGAGCCGTACGAATACGCTGCAGCGTGAAATATACAACGATACGTGCAAATCTCGTGCCCGATCAGACGAGGGACGAGGAAGGAGGGACAGGAGGGTGGGAGGGGAGAGGAGGACTCACCCCTCCCTCCATCCAGCCCCCCCCCTCTTCCCAATCCCTGCCCGCTGCCCAATCCCTGCGCAGAAAAAGGCCCCAAAGTTATGTTCAACGCTTCAAAAGTTCCTCCCGCCTCATAAAAAAAAACCCTCTAGATCCATCGGAAACGATAACATACACCCTCCCCCTAACTCCATCCTCCATCCCCTCCCTCCCCTCCCTCCTCCCTCCTTCATCACCTCCCACTCCCTCATTCCTCGCCCTCTCCCCTCCCTTCCCCTCCCTCGATGTCCCTCCTCCTCATCCTCATACTCCTCCTCTTTTTCGTCTTATTCGTTTTCTTCGTCTTCTTCGTCTTCTCCTTATTCTCAGTATTATTATTCCTCCTCTTCCTCCTCCCCTTCCTCTTCCTCCTCCTTTTCCTCCTCCTCCTCCTCCCTCCTCCCTCCTCCCTCCTCCCTCCTCCCTCCTTCGCCTCCCGCCTCCCGCCTCCCTCTACTCCTCCCTCCTGCCTCCTCCCGCTCCCTCCCGCCTTTCCCTCTCCTCCTCCTCCTCATCCTCCTCCTCCTCCTCCTCCTCCTCCGCCTCCTCTTCTTCTTCCTCCTCCTCCTCCTCCTCCCTCCTCCCTCCACGACTTCTCCTCCCTCTTCCCCCTCCTTCCTTTGTCCCTTGGGGCCCAAGCAGCCCCCGCCTCGAGCTTCTCCTGCAGCTCGACGTGGTTGTAGATCTCGCCGTTCACGCCCAGCACGATGGACTTGTCCTGGGAGGCCGCCGCCCGCAGGGAGTGAACGAAGAGAGGGAGGAAGGGGAAAAAGGCGGGGGCGAGGGAGGGAGCGCGAGAGGGAGGAGACGTAGGTACAGCACAGCATCACTACGCGCAACAACCTGACTCATACGTCTAGTCAACCAACGTCCGCCATCCAACAACCAACAACCAACATCCAACGAACCACATCCGGCATCCAGGAGAGGATCAGGTGGGCCACCACGGTGCCCGGTGTGGGGAGGAGGAGGAGGGACGGACGGACGGAGAGATGCCCCCCTACCTTCGGGCCCTAATCCTGACGACGATGCAAGACTACCATTTTTGTTCGCACGAATCGTGAAGGGCAAATGCCAGAGGCCATCCCAAAACACCCGCACTCCCCGGAGAAACACTCCCGCCAGCACAATTAACCCCACTACGAAGGACGTCGGGAGGAACAAGGTCGGATGGGCTGGCACTCAACGAATGGGGCCACAATGCAACATAGAAAATCGCACTGGCCCCTTGGGCGTACGTGATTTAACGAGCTCGTTCTTCCAACCTCCTCCTTCTCCTTCGGGGAGATGTTTTATCACGGTTCCATATTAATTGACGCCCCCTTACCCAGGCGACTGGCAACCAACAAGGACCAGTGCTGACCCACCCATCCCGCCACCCGTGTCAAAAAATCTGGAGCATGCGCGGGCGCCCCGCGACCACTTTGCATCTGTTTTTGACAGGGGCGGCCGGGGGGGGGGCAGGTTGCTTGCTGCGCGCAAGCCAGCCGTCCATGTCACACAGTAATTCGACGTACAAGTTGCCTCCAAATCTAAAGCAGGCGCGGGCGCCCCGCAACCACTGTGCATCAGGGGCGGCGGGGGGAGGGCTCGTAGTGCTTGCTGCGCGCCGGTCGACACGCCCAGTCAACTGACAATGCAAACTGCACTGTGCTTCCAAATCAGGGACATGCGCGGGCGCCCCGCGACCGCTTAGCACTGCTTCTTGGCAAGGATGCTCGGGTGCGACTCATGTGTCAGGAGGGCGGGTGGGAGCGAGCGGGACGGCTTGTGCCTTGTGAGCAGGCAGGGCGAGTCTGGAAGAAAAAAACACTGCTCCCTATCGATATACACCCCCTCCCCTACCCGGCCGGCAGCCAACCCGGAACAATGAGGACACCAGGAGGGCCTCCCCCCCCCTCTCGGGTCGGGCGAAAGGGGGGGATAGCAAAGGGGGGGTTTGAGAATCAGCTCACGTAGCTGATTTTCCCGGCGCCTCCCGGCGCCGGAGGCGACTATGTATCGGGAATGGGCCCCTCGGTGAGGCCGAAACCAACTGCATGCAGCAAATTTCGTAACCCCCCCTTTTCCCAATCCCCCCCTTCTCGCCCGCCCGACCCTCCCCATCCCTGCCAACAAAAACAATACAACACGCACTCTGCCTCCACATTTGGAGCATGCGCGGCCGCCCCGCGCCCACTTTGGAGTGGTATTCTACAGGGGCGGCTGGGGTGCCAGCAGATCCCGTTGCCTTCTGGGCGCAGATGGTCGACCGACTGGTTTGACACATCAGTGGCTGCTGCCTTTTCGCCTTATCGTGTCCGATGGGCTTTCGAAACCTCCCAATGGCTCCAAAATTGGCAAAGAAAGCTCAAAACCGGGCCAAAGAGGCTTCCAAACCGGCCCCAAAAACGCCCCAAGTTTGCGCCAAGAGGCAGTTCTGAGGGTCCCAGAAGGGGACGCCTCCAGGTGGATGGCACAAGAAAGCTCCAAGCCGGGCCCACGAGGCCACCAAGACGGCCCCAAGAGCGCCCCAAGGTCGCCTAAAAGGGGCCTCAAGAGTCTGGCCCCTGAAGGGGGGCCTAGCCCAAGGGGGGGGCTGAACGTCCCCACAATACGGCGATTGCCTCCAATATGCCTCAATATGTTTGAGCGATTGCTTCCAATACAACCCCTTGCGTTTGAGCGATTGCCTCCAATATGGCCCTCAGAGGCTCTCCACGGCTCCGTCGAGGGCCCCAAGAATGATGGTACAAGAGACGACTGGAAACCCCGACCACGAGGCCGCAGTGTCGAAACCCGACGAAGTTCTTACAAGCAAGCGGTTGTGTGAATTTGTTCTGGAGGCCAAGCACGCGTCTGAAATCCGTGCCGCGCTCTTACGCGATATGCTGACACCCGGGTGTTACTTATGTGTTGGGAGGGCTGGTGGGGGTGAGCAGGAGGCTTGCGGGTGGGTGGGTAGCTTGACTCTCCCCCTACCCCGTCTCCCTGGGCCTGGAGCGTCCAATGTTGGCCCAGATGGACCCAATATCGTCCAAGATTACCTCCAAGATCGCACAAGATAACCCAATATGATTCAGTGTAATTTTCAGCATGAGCTCAAGAAACCCCAAGGCCGCCCCAAGGTGCTTCCAAATAGCCACAGAGCCTCGGACGGAACCCCTGAAAAGGCCCGAATCCTCTCAAGACCTAAGACAATACATGATGTGTGTCTTCTCGCCTCTTTCGTTTCTGGGCTCCTGAGGCCCCAATCTGGCTCTAAGATGGCCCATGAGGGCCACAAGAGGGGCCCAAGACTGCCCCAAGAGCGCCCCGAGGTGGCTGTGGCTTCAAGAGACGACTTGCTGGCTCTGAAAGGGGTACTGACATGAGATGGCATAGGCAAACCCTCTCTTTCACCAGTGCCTCCAACATGGCCCAAAGAGGGCCACCACGGCACCGAAGAGGGTCCCAAGATGGCTCCGAGCAAGCCAAGGCCTGCTCTGGCCAATCCCCGTAGCGCCTTGACAGCTGCCCCACATCGTTGTTACACCGCTTGCTGCTGCAATTTCCTGATCAAGGCAGCTCGCCTGGGCATCGTTTCTGGTTGGGATGGTGTGGATACTTTTTTGATCGCAAGCGACCGGGAAACGCCGGACGTCGTCCAAAAGTCGTAGCGAGCGGGCTACGCACGAATTGCGCAACAGGAGGGGGGAATTCTGGGTGGGCGACACCGCGAGCATGGCTGGTGCGGATATTTTTTGTCGCAACCGCAGGCGAGAGCGCCAGCGGAAATTCTGCTGGTGTGGATACGCGACGCGTCAAGAATCAATGAACGTGCATCAGAGTCTGGGACTCACTCCCTCCCCGAGGCATCGAGCGCCGCATGCCCCTGCATGCCACAGCACGCCCCCCCCCCACCCCGGGTCCGCGGGGAGCGTGGGAAGACGCACCCGAGCGCCCCAAGGCTTGACTCGCGTCCGCAAGCCGCGCGCCCCGCATCCACTCGGGGATGGACAGAACCCCCTTTAGTAAAACGTGGTTTAGTGAAAACGACCTGAGGCCCAAACCTGGCGGGCGCAAGCCTGGAAAATAACGGCCACGGCGCCCTCTCGAGAACCGAAAACGGACAATTCACTAATCGACGTGTCACTGTTGGGGGTTCTGTCCACCCCCGATCCACTGGGACCGCGGCCAGACGCACCCACGCGCCTGGGAGGACAGCGTGCTCCGGCATGCCTCAGCGCGCCTCTGTGTCCGCAGGGGGGGAGGAGGAGGAGGAGGAGGAGGAGGAGGAGGAGGAGGAGGAGGAGGAGGAGGAGGAGGAGGAGGAGGAGGAGAGGAGGAGGAGGCACGGGCAGACGAGGCCCAGCGCCCACGGGCAGACAGGCCCCCCCCTGGCGTGAGGACGCCCTGGGCGGCGCCCGAGGACGGGGAGGAGGAAGAGGAGAAGGAGAAGGAGGAGGAGTAGGAAGGAGGAGGAGGAGGAGGAGGAGGAGGAGGAGGACCAGAGTAAACCCAAGAGGCATCAACGATGTTGGAATGAACCCTCCAAGCTCCCTCTTCATAGGCCCCTACAACGGTTCATTTCCATTGACGGAACTGCCTCGTTGGAGGACAACCGTTTGAGGATCCGGAAGCGTGCCAAAACATGCCACGTATCAACCTGATTGCTGCGCCTTGACGTTCCCGAATCGTGCCAAAACGCCACTGCTGGGACTTCAATACCGCGAATCAACATAACTGTTGCACCCGCATATTCCTGAACCCATCCAAAACACAAATTCTGGTACGCTGATCATGGGAATCCGTGTGCGCGGCGCAACAGCGAGAGCCACATGTTCAAAAGGAGCCGCCCTCAATCTGCATAACCCTTGCGTTGTTTTGTATTTCTTTTTTCTAAAAAAGTGCGACCCACGAACCCGGAAAGGAATATAGAAATGTAACGCATGGCAACGTTTTCAAAGACACCTGATTGGGTGACGGGCAAATGCAATGCTGATTGTATCGATCTTGATGTACCGTGCCGAGGGCTGTGCTGTGCTACACCGTGCTGAACTGCGATGTGCCATGCCGCGGTTGTGCTCTATAGCCTCGTGGATCGAGTCCTCCTTAGCATCCGAGTCCTGACCGAAATGATCTGGACCTTAAGCTCGAGCTGCCTGAACACATAGTAGCTGCCCCAGAGCTAATTGACAAGGGGGCATGCCAGGAGGACGCGCCGCGAAACGTCCCAAGGGACGCGCCAGGCGGCGTGCCAGGGGACGTGCCATGGGGTCGCACCGCCGGACGTGCCAAGGGGACGCGCTACGGAACGTGCCAATGGATGTGCCACGGAATGTGCCAGGGGACGCGCCACGCGACGTGCCAGGGGGACTCGCCAAGGGACGCCCCACGGAACGTGCCAAATTGCAATGCTGAGTGTATCGATCTTGATGTACCGTGCCGAAATCTGCGCTGTGCTGCGCCGTGCCGAATTGCGATGTGCCATGCCGCGATTGTGCTCTATAGCCTCGTGGATCGAGTCCTCCTTAGCATCCGAGTCCTGACCGAAATGATCTGGACCTTAAGCTCGAGCTGCCTGAACACATAGTAGCTGCCCCAGAGCTAATTGACAAGGGGACATACCAGGAGGACGCGACGCGGAACGCCTCAAGGGACCCGCCAAGCGACGTGCCAAGGGACGTGCCACGGGGACGCACCGCGGGACGTGCCAAGGGGACGCGCTACGGAATGTGCTGGGGACAAGCGTTTCGC